GCTCAGAGGCAGCATATTCCTTGGGGAAATAAATGGCTGGCTCCAGGTACAAGTCAGGAAAGTTAACTTCAAGAGGCTCCGGGGAGCCCGAGGTAGACCAAGACTAAAATTCCAGGGTTCTGGGTGCCAGGCTGTGGGTGGTTGGCAATCTCTGGGGCAGGGTGGGACGGGGATGTTACTTTTGTCTACGTTAATCATGGCCTGTCATTTTCAAGTTTCAAATACATACATGCTCAAAGCAATCTGTGATTGGTAACGCGCTACATCTTTATGGGGAGATTAAATATGGGTCCCAGTGACCAGTCTGATGATCCCACGAGGACAAGGTCACAAGAGCATGAACAAGATTCCCACCACAGGGAGAGGCCCTGGACACTTCTGGGACTTGCACTTGGGACAAAGAGGTGAAAGTCAAACTTCATCATGGTAGAAAATGCTAGATTTGTCCACGTTTACATACCCCTGCATTCTGTTCTTGCATCTCTTTTAGAGCCCCCCACCATGTGCATTCCTGGTCTACAATACAGACACCCCCTGGTAGAAAGTTCTGGATTCATCAAACCACAATCACAAGGCGGACATCCGCCCCGTTTATGAAGCTGGAAGGTGTTATTAGACCCATTTTACAGGTGGGAACCTAGAGAGTTAATGTTTCACTCACTCGTTTGAGGTTTGTGTGATGATGGTGACTGAGCCGGATGCAAACCCCGGGGCCCAGAGCCTGGCGGGGTGCCTGGTCCGGACGGGTTCTTAGATCCAGCCCCCAGAGATGCTGAGAAAAGCTGCCTTTTCTCAGAGTTTGATTCTGAGAGACATCACGGCCTTTCTTAGAAGCTCCCTGGCCCTCTGTTCTGTCCTCTCTCTGGGAGCTTCCTGCCGGATCACAGAGCTGAAGCTGAGCCCTTAGGACGTGTCTATTCGGGTAAACTTGGGTGATCCTGTCACCCAAGCGTCAGCCGCCTGGCCTGCTGGAAGATGTACAATGAACTGAATCAACAGGTTACCAGAAGCTTCCACCAGCCAAAGTCCAGAGGAAAGGCTCTGGGAGCAGGGAGTGTCAGACAACAGATAGCTTATCCAGGGCGAGGCTGTTAGCCTGCCTGGGCCTGGCAGAGTGCTGCCTGCCCCCCAAGTCCCACCCACCTCTTTTTTGTGCAGGGTGACTGCTCACAGCAGTGGGGTGACCTCCAACTGCCCAATCAGACCCCTAGAGAAGCATGAGAGTCCCAGACCCAAAAGGGCATGCTGTCCTGTTCTTAAGGTTTTTTGTTTTTTTTTAAGCCAGACCTCCTTTTGAGAATATGAGGAAAGCTACAGAATCTCTCATGGGGAAAAATCACAAAAAAATATGTATACAGATATTTTGCAGATATTCAGAATATATAGATATTCTGGGGTTTACAGATCTCTTAAACAAGGTTATAGACTCAGGCAAGGAACACTCTCAGGTCTCTTCTTCATCTAAGGCCAGGAACCTCTGTGTTGTTGACCTGTTTCACTTTAAAAATTTCCACTCGTCAAGAGAGAACACTGTCTCAGTCCTTCCAAATTGCAAAAACCACAGCCTGGAGGCTTAGAAGCAATAGACACTCATTCACTTCTCACCACCTTGGAGTTTAGAAGCCTGAAGTCAAGTTGCTGGCATGGTGGGGTTCTCACAAAAACTCTCTTCTGGGGGCCTCCCTAGAGGTATAGGGGTTAAGTCTCAGCACGGTTACCACCCACTGCAGCCTGAGTTCGATCCTGGCCAGGGAGCTGACCTACATGGTGCTGACCTGTCTTCCTCCTGTCCCCCCTCAGTGTATTTTAGTAGATCTGCCTGTTCTGCTCCCTACTCTGTCTCTGGTGAATCCTCTCACCACCCCCCACATCTCTGGCCTACACCCCAGTTCTTGTATGTGTTGTGCCAGATTTCAAGTTTCCCAAAGACCGCCAAGGAGCTGATTCCGATGCAAAGCATACGAGGGTCTTTATTGCAAGCTTGAGCCTGGGCTCCCAACATGCACCAACGCAGCAGCCGAAGTTGAGAACCCTGAGCTCAGGGAAGGCAAGGTTGTTATTACACAAGGGGGAGTTTTAGCTCAGCAGTATATTGATTGGTTGACAATGAACAGAGTTATCTTGTCTTAACCAGGTTGATCTATGCATGTAAGATGGGACCTTCACTGCTCTAGGCCCGCAGACCCTAGGACACCTGGCCTTTTCTGATATGTAACTTGGTTACTTGCTAATTGGCTGTTGCTATGGGATGAGTGAGATTGGGACATTTACAGTTAAACTTGGCCGTGACGCCTTGTTGATCATCAAAACCTAGGCCTGGCCGGTTCAGAAGCATTCTGAGGCATGTCCTGGCATCAGTTTGGTCTTTCAGTATACATAAATAAAAATAAAATAAATCTTTTTTAAAAAGATTTATTCATGTATGCATACAGAACTGGGATACAAGCCAGTGGTGCAGGAGCAATGAAAGGATTCACCAGAGACAAAGTGGGGAGCAGAACAGGCAGATGGACAAAGTACACTGCTGAGCTGAGGGGAGCAGCGGGCAAGACCCACGCCACGTGGGTCACCCCCTGGCCTGTGATTGAACTCGTGCCACTGTGGCTGCAAACCGCTGCATAGCGCTGCCCTTTAACCCATTGCACCACCAGGGAGGGCCCAAAATATATCTTAAAAAAAAAAAAGACCTCTTCTGTGTTCCTTCTTATTATATCCTCACATGGTGGAAAGACAGAGTTTGGGGGGGTCTTTTATTAGGGCGCCAATCCCATCACGAAGGCGCCACCTTGACTTCCAAAGATTCCACTTTCAAATAACATCACCTTGGGGTTAGGATTACAACAAATGGACTTGGGGGAAGGGGAGGCAAAGCAGGCCCAGGGGAGAAGCCTCCTGCCTCTGGGGTGAGCCCCCTGCCAACCCCCCAGGGAGGACAGACCTGGAGGTTGCTGGCTTAGCCTGCGGCCAGAGCTTGTGAGCAGGGCGTTACTTAGGAAGAGATCCCCCTTGCCAGGGATGGAGGCCGGAGGAGAGTAAGATGGAGAAGAGAAAACCGAGGGGGTGCCTGGTTGGCTTTTCATAGGTCGGGGGGCGGAGGGTTGGGGGACAGTGGGGCTATAGCACAGCTCTCAGAACTGCCACGCAAGGGAGCAGAGCACCAGAGGGCCAGCTGGCCTCTTGCCCGTGGAGCCCCCGACGGGGTGGCGCTCCCACGCTTCGGGGCTGGGTGCTACACCGGTGCTGAGGCCCCGCAGCTTCCTGAAGGCGAGAGAAGCCAAATCAGGCCTGTGGCTACGTGGCAGTGAGACCCGGTGGGCTCAGAGGACGTGTGACAGGGACGGGGCTGTGAGGTCTGCAGGGAGAGAAGACCCTTCCAGACCAGCTTTCAGCCCGGGGAAGTCTGGGGGTGGGCAACCAATTTTTCTGTTCCGCTTTGCCTCTTCAGATAAATGAAGTTTGGGACCTGTGGGTAGGTGCTCTCTCTGCTCCCCACCCCCATCTACAGCCTCCTGGCTCCAGCGGCCTCAGCGCTCAGCTCAGGTTAGGCCGAGTCTTCTGCAAACAAGCCACATCTGTGACTACAAGCCTCAAAAAGTAAGCTTACTTTTTTCTTTTAAAAAGATTTATTTATGCAAGAACTGGGGTTGAGAGGATTCAGCAGAGACAGAGTGGGGAGCAGAACAGGCTGACTGACTGAAATACCCTGCTGAGAGGAACAGTGGAGAGATGAGAGGTCTGCTGTGCCCTGGGGGGTCACTCCCTGGCCCGGGCTGCAGGGGCTGTGGGTAGCTTCATAGTTCTGTGTTTTAACCCCTTGTGCCACCAGGGAGGCCCCCACTTTTTTTTTCTTTTGGCCTCTAGAGCCTGAGAGCAATTAACCATCCAGGCTCGGTTACACCATAGAGGCGGGAAGCGGGAGTGTGAGGACCCAGAGGAAGGCTGGGCCCGAGGTGAGCCGCGGCTGCAGCCTGGCCTGGTGCTGGCAGCTGCGTGGCCTTGGGTGAATTATGCAGCATCAGGCGTGCATCATCTCTCAACCTGGGACTGAATGGTTACCGCAAGGGGCGGAGTTGACGTGAGATCCCTGACACATGGTGAGCCCTTACTGAGTGCCGCCGATCTCCGCTAGTCTACGGCAGTGCTCAGTATTGTCAGGCCCCGGGAGCTGGCACCCATTGTTACCTTTTCAGGAGCCTGCAGCCTGTTCCAGGTGAATCTGTGGGTGGGGAAATGTGGGGTGTGGCTTCTCTTGCCAGCAGTTTCCGCATAGATGCAGCAGGTGGGGGCAGCTCAAACCACAATCCACACCCAGCCCAAAGGTATGTATGCAGAAAAGAGTGAGCGGCCCACAGCCCTCACAGCCCCCACAGCCCCAGGCGGTCGGAGCCTGCATGGGTGGTGGGGGGGAGTGGGTGGGGAAGGTGCTGGGGCTGAAGTGCCAGCCTGGGCATCTTATCTGAGCCCTCTGCTGGGGTACTCAGCGCCTGCACAAGCTGGCCACGCTTCCCAGTGTCTGGGAGCTTAATGCTTGCTTGGGAATGCAGGGAACCCCCCCCCCAGCACCACGGATGACAGCTCCCGAGTCCCCCGATGGACGCAGGTCCAGCCCAGTCTTCTCTGGCCCTGGGATCCCCCCTCTCCCACATGGGGCGAGCTCAGATCTTAGCTTCGGGGCAGTAGGCTGGCTCAGGGTCCTTCCCTGCTACCAGTCCTTCAGCCAACAAAACCCAGGGCTCTGGGGGAGCGGTTGCTGGAGCAGTACCCCACGCCCGCCTCCCCCCGCACCCCAGGAGCAGGAAGATGAGCACCTGCACCTCTTCTGCATGGACCCCGAGGCCTCTGGCAGGACCAGGTGGTGTGACTCCAGCCTCACCGCCCAAAGGCTGGGGACAGAGCAAGAGACGTGTCTCCAGAGGGTTCAACCACACACAGACTAGTCATGGAACTTTGAAAGAGATTTATTTAAAAACAGAACAAAAAAAAAAAAAAAAAAGCTTTGGTATTTCAAAACCCAACAATCATCCATCACTAGAAAGTTAAACGTCTCCCCAAAGCCCAGAAGTACAAAACCATAGATCTCCACAGGCTCATGATGAGATGAGGCGCCGTCCCCCGGGCCGAGACCCGCCCCACGCAGGGTTTCTCTTCGAGTGGAGCCATCCAGCAAGATCTCAACCAAAATAAATTAAAAGTCAAGTAAAGAAAGAACACATAAAATTAAGGAGAGAACACAACGTTCTAGACAAAAGTCTTTCCAAAAGCGGGTCTGGTTGGGGCGGAAGGAAGGGAAGTGAAGGAGTGAGTTCAATTTCAAGTATTCCCACTGGGATCATTTTATTGGGTGGAAAGCTTACAGAACGTCCGCCGGCCCCGTCCCCGCTTCCCGTCTGAAAACTCCTGACCATCGACACGTACTTCTGCGTCACTGGTGTCCCCCAACAAGGCACAAAAGGGTGGGTGCTGTCAAAGGCCCCCTGGTTCGTAGCAGCAGGACTTTCAGTGCTGGGCGTCTTGTGCAAACAGTGGCCGAGAGCAGGACAGTCCTTCCTCAGACGCTGGGGTCTTCCTGCGCAAGGACACAACAGGAGGTTACTGCGCGCGCGCCGGACAGTGCAGCGGCCGGCAGACGCCTCGGCGACCCCCACCCCAGGCTCGATCCGGCGCTGCAGGGACCTGCAGGGACCTGCCAGAACTACCACAGCCGTAGGGCCCTGGGCGGCAACGCAGGCCCATCGGGGGAGCACGGGCTCTGCGCCGGCAAGGGAAACTGAGGCACCCGGCAGTATCGCATGAGGGTGGCGTGGCTTCTGCCCCGACCACGGGGAAACCCGAGGTGGATGCAGAGAGGCCATCGGCCCTCGGGGCCAGGCAGCTCCCGGCACCTGGCAGCACACGGGGGTGCCGGAGCAGCGAGCTGCAAGGCGGCCACGGGGCGGCTGCCGCGTGACTCTCTGATCTGACTTTCCATTTTCTTCGCGCTAGGGCGCTCACTCAGCCGCCCACCCTGCTCCTCTGGCTGATTTCCTCCTCCGCGCTCTGGCCCTGCCCCACCAGCTCTCTCTGAGCTCTGTAGTTGAGCCATTACTTTTCGCCGGCGGCAAGGGGTGTCGGGAGTCGGCCGGGTCCCTGGGCAGCCAGGGGACCCCTCTGTTCACAGCCGGGCTTCCGCTGCTCTCCCTGCCCTTCCTAGTCTCCACTCAGAAGTCGCTTTTCAATGTCCTCTCGCAACGTGCTCGCTCCTCTTTCTGTGTTGAAGGCCGGGGGCACCGGCCGGGAAGGACACCCCATTCCTGCCTCGGCCTGACCCCATCCTGGGCTCGGGACAGAGCGCCAGGCTGCCGGGGCCGGGGGCCAGGAGACACGGGGCCTCCTACCTTGCTCCTGAAGAAGGGCTTGGCCCCGGGCCCACAGTACTCGTTGTAGATGAGCTTGAAGAGGAAGAGGTGGAAGAGGGTGATGAGGGAGGCCACGCTGAACCAGAAGAGGAAGGGCAGCCCCGGGTCCTGCTGGGCCATGTGCTCGTCGTGGGCCAGGATGGCCTTGAGGTGCAGCGTGTGCCGCAGGTCCTGCAGGTGCGTGAGGTCGGTGGAGATGTAGAGCAGCGGCGTGATGGGCTGCGTCACCATGACCGAGAAGGTGTGGCCCTGGGGCGCCGAGGTCAGCTCCACGGGCTCGTCCAGGCAGCCGGCTTCGCAGGCGTAGATCTTGGCGGGCTGGCCGCGGGACTCCACGGACACGTGCAGGTACGGCTTGCCCTCGGCGTCGGCCAGCACGGCCAGGTTGATGTGGTCGTTCTTGTAGCGGATGCCGTGCAGCGCGTAGCTGTTGTGCAGCACGTCGGGGTCGGCCTGGAACTGCAGGTGGTTCTCGGTGAACTGCAGCCCCCCGAAGCTGAGCACCATGCCCTGCAGGATGCCGGGCGCGCCCGCCCGCACCAGCCCCTTGCAGCCGCGCTTCTGCAGCGTCAGCCGCCACAGGTCGGAGAGCTGCAGGATCTGCTGCACCGAGGCCAGCCGGCCCGGCCACAGGTTCTCGGCGTGCATGGTGGCGTGGCCGCTGAAGCAGTGGTCCTCGTAGCTGAGCGTCGACTCCATCTGGTCTCGCTCCCTGTGGCTCAGGTCGGGGCTGAGCAGCGGGGCTGGCGAGCAGGAGAGCATGTAGTACAGCGTCAGGTTCACGGTCAGGCCGGACGGGGTGTGGGCATCGGTGATCTTCTTCATTTCCACTCCTGGAACACGTTAAGAAGGACGTTAAGGAGGAAGGCGGCAGGGGCCGAGGTCACGAGGCCGCGGCCCCAAGCAGCAGACACGAGCTGTCCCAGGGATCTAAAGAGCAGCTCCAGGCTCCTCGAGCAGGGGAGACGCCTTGTGACCATCCTGAGCCCTAAAACCCTAAGACGGTAGAGGCCTCCCCCAGGGCCAGCACAAAGATGCAGCCAGGACACCAAGCAGCAAGTCCAGCTCCCCCACACAGGGGCACCGGCCACACTGCCTGGCCAGCCTTGGGCTGCTCCTCTCCAGCGCCTCCCCGCATCCTGTACCTCTGGAAACACCTGAACACAGGGTCAGCCAAGCCCCATGGAATCTGCACCTGTGGCCCCAAGAGCTCAGCACCCGTGGGTCTCTCCACGGCAGTTTGAACCTGATGCGGTTTGAGTTCTCCAGCCTCAACCCTCCCTCCCCCACGCTGTCTCAGACACCGGCCGGAGCCCACTCCCCAAACTCAGAGTCCCTTGCAGGTTCTACCCACAGCCAGTCCATGGAAAGTCCTGGGGCTCCATGTCTGACAGCCTCCGAATGCATCTGCTCCTCTCCAGGGCGGCAACCCCGCACAGCACCGCTCTCACCTGAGCGCCTGCACAGCACTCACACCTGCCTCCACACCGTGCCCTCTCCCTGCTTCCCTCCGCATGGGCAGCCAGAGGGGTCTTTAACAGTGGGGACCAGGCCCTCCCTGGTGGCACGGAACTATTAAGATTTCAGCAGCCGTTGCTGGCCCGACAGGGTACAGCAGACCTCTCCTGCCTCCCCTCAGCAGAGGGTTTCAGTCAATCTGCCTATTCTGCTCCCCACTCTGTCTCTGGGGGGCCTCTCAACCTCCCACCCCCTGCACCTCTGGCCTACACCCCAGTTCTTGTTTGCACAAATAAATAAAAACAAATCTTTAAAAAAATAAGTAAAAGTGGGGAGCAGAGTGTCTCTGGCCTGCCCTAGGCGCAGTCCTCATCGAGGTCCCCAAGGCAGGGCCTTTAGGGTCTGGCTCTGCCGCCCTCCACTGACCTTGTGATCTCCACCCTCTCCGTGCTCACTACCTGCCAGCCACTCACCTAACCTGCTCCTGCCTTCGGGCCTCTGCCTGCCAACTTCTTGCTGTTCAGGTCTCACCTTCAGTGCTTCCTCCTCAGAGGCCTCTCTGCAACTGGAGCCGAACTGAGCCCCAAGCCCCCGCCCTCACTCACCCCAACATGCTTACTTCCCGACACACACTGCCCCGGAGACTCAGTCCTGTCCCCCTCAGTCACCAATTTTTAACTTTTCTCCAGAGGACTTTGTATTCTAAAGAGCTGTCTTCCTCCCAGTGACAATCTCAAAAGCCTCAGGGAAAGGAAGTCTGTCCTGTCCATTTCTTTGTCCCCTGTTCAATAAATGGTTGTTGAAGGAACTAAAGACTCTTTGAGCAACAAAATATACAACTAGAACCCGGGGAGTCTTGCCCAGTTAATGGGGGAAAGAAGAGGCCAAAGCCTCCCTGGGAAAAAGCGGCCATTACACTGGACACCCCTCTCTCTGCCTGGCAGGGTCACCAGCAGACTGGGGGGAACTCCTGGAAGAATCTGGGGATCCCCACTCTGCCTGCTGGATTCTGCCTAATGAACTCCCTCAAAACCACTCTGCTCAAAGCAAGCCTCACCTACAAGAACAAATAAGCCCTGCCCTGCACGCTGGCTCTCTGACTGGGACTCCGAGGCCCTCCGCATGCTACTGTCATTCCCGGAGAGCTGAGGTGCTGGCCAGGGACTCTCAGAGGATACTAAGGGTTAAAGTTTTTGACAGCCTCTTCCCCCCCCCTCCTCTTTCAGGCCAGCTGGAGACTTTGATGGGGATTCTCCAGGCGCCTGGTGGTCACCTGGTGCAAGGAGTGCCTTGTGGACCAAGGACACCAGGCCTCACCTGGGCTGAAGAGCTGAGCCCAGAGCCGCTGGTGGTCCTGAAGCAGCTCGGCGGCAGGCATCTCCAAGAGCTCCAGCATCTCCTTCCGGGCAGAGTCCTGGAGTGCCTTGAGCTCCTTGGCCGCTTTGCTTTTGAGCACCTGGGGGTTCACAGGGCCGGACACATGCACCACCCACAGCACTGTCTCATCCAGCTGGGTCTTGGGAGCCACCTGGAGCCGGTTCACTAGCTTCTTGGCTGCCACCACCACCAGGTGCACCAGCCCCGTGGACACGGGCGGGGACCGGCCGGAGTAGAGGAGGAACTGATGGTCCCCGACTTTCTCCAGGGTACTGGTGAAGGCCCGAGGGACCGGGCCGGCAGTGGGTCCCACGGTCTGCAGTGCGGCCACACGCTCGGTGGGGTTGTTGAGTTGGATGCGCTGCAGATAGACGTGGGGTCGGCCCCGGTGCGCCAGAAAGTCCTCCTGCAGCAGCACGCAGTCGCGGCCGGAGCCCGAGGCAAAGCCGGAGCCCGAGGCGGGGCCGGGGCCGGCGGCGGGGCCCGATCCTGGGGTCCCGAGCTGCAGGCAACGCACGCGGCGCAGCAGCCCCTCCCGCAGCAGCAGCACTGACTCTCCAGCTTCGGAAAGCGCGCTCAGCGGCCGCAGCTGCACGAAAGGCACGAAGTCCGGCGCCACAGCGGGCTCCCGCTCGCCGGGGGTCACCCACAGCTGGTTGGCGGCCACGTCCAGGGCCAGGAAGCCGTTAGCCACCAGGGCGGGCACGCCGGGGCCCAGCGGCACAGCCTCGCCG